CGATTAAAACTTAAGAGATTTGGTCAATTTGGTTATTGAATTGGGTTTGATCACACCAAAATAAGTTGTTTGTTCTGTCTCATGTGGGTGTTGCTTCCCCTTTTTGTGTATATGAAAGTCTTTTGAGTGATGAACAGTCTTATTTGATATTGTCCGTCTCCTTGATGACTGATTTTGGGTTTATAAAACTTCAAAAATTCATTATTCTTTTCAATACTTTTTCTTCCTGGAGCATGTGTCTGTGTGGTCACTTTTTTGGCACTGGGTTTTGTCAGCGAAACCCAGTCCACCGAAAATAGCATTTCTGTCTCGAACTGCTCTATGGAAGGAAGTACATTAAGGCCTAGAATCGCAGTTTGGAAAGGCGAAGCTTAGCTCGCAAACACAAGCTTAAGAAGAGTGTTAAGGCCCACCTCATTATGATGATTTACCCGTCTGATCTCAGCGAAATAAAGAAGGTAACAAGTTCGGATAATTAGTTGGAAGGTCAGAATTTATGGACGAAATGAATGATAACGATAGCTAGGGCAGATAGAAGAGATGTACAGTATAAATAAGAGACCAGAGAAGAAGGGTCATTTGAATTTTGGTGGATATCATTAAATATAAAATTATTAAAATTTGAGTAAAAGAAAGAAAGAGAGTGTTTTTGGTTGAAATAATAGGGTATATTGAAATATAAAATTAATAAATTTGAGTAAAGAGAAGAGATAGTGGATATTTTTGGAGAGAGAAAGTATCAAAAGTATCAAATAGTTGATACTTTTGAAGAGAGAAAGACTGTGTTTTTAATAATTTCATTTTTAAAGAGAGTATAAAATTAATAAAAGTTGAGTAAAAGGATGAAAGAGAAGGTATAAAGTTAAATAAAAGAAAGAGAGAGTGTGTTTTTAATAATTTTATATTTAATGATACTCAAAAGTTCATGGATAAAGATGGCCTTATGATAACTTACTTTTCATTCCGAATTCAAACTTCGTCTTCAGTTCTCCATCTTTTCATTATGATCTAAATCGTTCAAAATTCAGCTCTCACAACTTTGCTTCTTCGAGTTGTTATAAATGAGAGCATCTCGTAAATTTTTTTCTTTCTTTTGATAGAAATATGCAGTTGTATAGTGGTGTTTTAGGCGTTTATAACATGAATACGAGAGTGAGAGTAGTGGTTTACTGAATATAAGGAAAGTTCGAAGTGTGTGAATGAGAAGAAGCCATAAGAGACAAGTCTCATCTTCTTATAAGTATAACCATCTAAACCGCATGCTTCTGTCCACGTTTGTTTCCAATTAAGAACAGTACTTTGTACTACTTTTGTCTCACACTCCTTTATATTCTGGAGCTTCATAACAAATTCTTTTTTTCCTCATCAGACGTATAAAAATATATAGCCAGTACTATGATGCAATATAATGTTGTTCCACGTTCTTGTTCGAAATTATTTCGATGTGTTTTGTTTCTCCCACTCCTTTTTATCTTCTTCTTGACAATCCATGCTTCAGCGAGCCGCTTACAACAAATTCTAGAG